CTTAATTTCTGTAATAGCCCTATTTTTTCGAAAATTATAAAATAGTGACAATTGAACGATTCTGCCGATCCACAGTAAACTGTACAGGGGGTTAGAACTATGTAAACTATATGTAAATCTCAAACTCTAATTTTATGACGTGGATATAAAATCAAACATTTGGGGAGTTTTTGTGGATTTCAAACTTTTCATTTTCACGTTTAATGACATAAAATTTAAAGCTTGTTAAAAGCTATTATCCTTTCCAACGGTTGTACTTGAAAAAAAATCCAGAGGTGTGATGAATTTTTAAGTAGATCACCGGACATCAGCGAGGAAAAAATTTGCCACCGGCGAATCCAGCCAAAACATTTTTATTACTATGAAAATTAGTTTTTAATGTGTGGTGATTAGTGACCGTTAATCGATAATTATTCAGAAATCGTGAGATGCGGTCAAGAAAAACATTTTCTTTATCGTGTCAACGTTTCGATTTTTATTGAGATCATCTTCAGAGCTCAAAGTGTTTGTCTTCTGTGTAATTGTGCCATTCTTGCGTGTCGTGTTGAGAGTGCCCTCTGCGACGCAAGAATCCAAACCAGACCGCATCTCACGATTTCTGAATAATTAGTTTTTAATGGTTTAAAATGGTGCTTATTTATCTGCAATAAAATGTTGCATGTTATTTTCTTATTGTAGTTTTAAAAAAATCGAACAAGCCAACATATCAAAGTTTTAAAATAATACTAAAATATATACACAAAAAAGGCAGAAAACCATATTTAAAAAAGTACTTAGAAATTTTTTTCCTAGGCTCCTTGAATTCATTTGTAAGAACACTGGACACATGGCTTACACGTTTTGAACTAATATCACCAAAAAAGTTCCACTAAAATAGGTGATCCCACGTCTCACCTTGAGTAAACAGCATAAATAGTAACATACCAGCAAGACCAATAAATTGTTTTGTTGGAAAATTGCTTCATATTTCAAAATTTGTGACTCTTCACCATAAGTGGCTAAACCCAAATTTATGCTGAGTTGTTCACTTGTTATTATGTTAATCTGCATCGAACCAAAGAACCAGATTTTAAAAATATCTTCTTTATTGTTTTCAGTGGGTGTTGGTATTTGACCGTAAAGAATTTTTATGCCTTAAATGAATAAAACTTTATTTTTCGAGTTTTATTATTAAAACGGTTTTTATATTGTCTTGCTGTTTTAATATTTTTTCACCGCGACGAAGTTTGTCCCGTCGCGGTCCACCAACAGCCGGCATTCTTGCCGCAACCGAGAAACCTTTGTCACACGTCAGCCCGCTTTCTCGAAAGTGGCTCGTTAAAGCTCAAAGATCGACAATTTCTAATTACTCCCCCCCCCTCCAGAAGACCAACTGTAGTGTAAACAGAAAACAAAGTTTTATTAGAGCTATTACGCGGCGACGGGTCATTTACAATAAAAGCTCTAAAGATCATTTTCATAAAAGTTCACATGAAATGAAATAGCAAGAATGGGTTCACTGACCCGAACGGAGAGTCATTTTACAGTAAAAAATCATAAAGCCAATAAATATTTTTGAAAAAGCATAGAAACATTTTACAAACGTTGATAAGATCGCTTGAAAAAACTTATTATTCTATACAGAACTAGAACTTGAAACATTTTACTACCTAGAAGACTACTAGGCATGTGAGTTTTATTTTATAAAAAAAATGAAACTTTTTATTCATCCCGCATTTGGTTATTATGCAAAAATAAAGATGTTGGATATGGAAGTGAAACGAAAGGCGAAAACAGCAAGGATAGGCGGATCCAATTAATAAAAAAAAGACTTTGCTTTAAGTTTATGATTTTAGATAAAGAAATCAAGAAATCAGACAAAATTCGCTTAATTTTAAATTTCCGCCATAAAATGCCGATCGAAAAATTTTGTTGATAGCTGAGATATAAGCACAGAATAATGGGAATTTTTTTGGAATTCAATTTTTTGAGTGTTGAACGCGAGTAGTCAGCTATGGTGGAGCGTACAACATACGGACAATATATTATATGAATAAATGTAATTGTTGATTATTAGATTATTATTTGTGATGGTTTATCGTTCTGGACTATTGCCTGAATGCTCTTCTTTAGGTCAAATCATTTATCAATTTACAATTTCATTTTTGATTCAATTCTTCTTTTTACCTCTGTCTACTGGTGACTGTTTTGTCCATTTATCAATGGTAAGATTATTGTCTATATTGTCTAGTGTAATTATTATTATTCTCTGTGAAAGAAAATCCGATCGTGGATCTTCTTCAGAGTCCATCTATCTTCTCTTGCTCTAGTTCGCCAGGACCACAGGCGAACGGTTGAAACGTGACCGCTTAACAACCTTGTTGAATGCTTTGATCATGGACTCTCCGGATCTGACCATTTCGTTTAAAACCACACGATTATCTCTGGTTTTATCGGTGAGGATGTTATCTCGTTATCGATAATAGCTTGTCTATAAGGGTGATCCTTTGTCCGTTACAACTAGGTAGAGTACAATTACAATACAATGCACAATACTTTATTAGAATTGATAAAAAAAAAGAATAGAAATTCTGATACAAGGCTAATAGCCGTCTGCTGAGTCTACTGCTTAAAAGCTTACAAATGCAAATATTAAATATTAAAAAAAATATATAAAAAAATATAAAAATTTTTTTGCTGCTAGCATTGGCAGGGTACAGATCGGCTCTGTTATTTACTTCTATTTTTGTGGTTTATAAGTAGCCGCTTACTTTGATTTTTTGAAGTTTTTTTAATCAGAGTGTCAGCTTCCGAGTACAGTTGATGCATTCTTCGCTACGAGACTTTTTCGTAAGTTTCATTGAACTTTTTCAAAGTTAATTTGTACTCGGTAAGGGCAAGGTTCAGGCCCCTTTGTTGTGGCCCAACGGACGAGATATTCGGTGTTTTCGTTGAGGTCTCCAACTGCATTCTTGTTTGATAAACAAACCCAGTCAAGCAAGTGTTCAATGTCGACATCTCTCCGGAAAAACTCCAGGTGCGTCATTTAGGAGCTAATGGATCGACAAATTCTCCGTTACTAGTTACGTTTTACAACCAAAACATAAATTCAACATTATAAAATCTTCTCATATGCTCAAGGGCTCAGGCTTCGTCATCTTTCAGGATCTTCCAGTCTCCGCACGAAAGAAAAAATGAAACTAAGGAAAAAATGAAACTTAAGGAGAGAAATTCAGAGACTGAACCCCCGTTTAAAAGTTAAAATTCGTCCAAACCATATTCTAGTGGACGGAAAAAAATTCTTCTGATCGTTGGATGACGGACACGCTTCTGACATGAACATGGTATCTCCCAGCTGAATTTACTCGTCGGATGCAACCTTTCGGACTTCCTGAAAGCCGTTCACACGGACTCACTCGCCAGCGATTATTTCAAAGTTCAACATAAATCATCGAACTCAGTCCCCCAACAAGAAAAGACTTCTAAACATTCTAAATGAGATTTCGCAGCCGTCTGTTTGAATAATAGTTGTAACAACTAGGTAGAGATTGAATCCTAAAAGTACGGTTTTTTCCTGTGCGTTCGCCAATAAATCGAAACTAAATACAGTCAACTCTTGATAATTAAATCCAAGAGACTATAAAAATAATTTGGTTTATCAAGATGTTCGAGTGGCTCCATTTCAATTTAGAGACTGCTCTTTTTCCTCTTGAAGCCCTACTACGGAAAATCTTTCGTATTATCGAGCGTATTACATTTTTTTGAGTTACCAAATTGACCTTAAAGGAAATGCTATAAAATGCGTGAAAACTGTGCAATAAATTTTAATTAGAATAATTATGATTAAACATCACAAAATTCAATTTGGTCAAGATTTTTTCGCGAGGTCTTGTAGTATTTTAGACTCGGTTTTTGTTAAAATAATTTTCGTGTTTGGTGAATCTTAATAAGCTCAATTTCATTGTGTTTGTAAAGTTTGACCATATAATAATGTGTATTAATGTTAGTAAATTTCATTTTTTTCTCTACTAAACAACCAAACAGCACACACACAAATAGAAGGCCATGTGCAACAGCCTCGGTAAGTCAACAGCCCTCCAATAGCGTGGTGTACACAAAATTGTAAAAAAAAGTACGCTGAGACTGGACAAGGACTTACGATTAGACATGATGAATAGGAGCTTACCTCCTCAAAGAGGAAAAGAGCGGACCTTGCATCACCAAAGGATGATGAATATGGTGACGCTAGAACTACATATCCTAAATTAGTCAGTGTACTTGTCCAGAAGAGAGTTGAAAAAAAAAGAAAAAAGAAAAGCAGAAGACTTATCACTGGAAAGGATACGACCCTAGACACATAATTTCAATGGATTTTTTACGTGCAATTGGATTTTAAATTGATCAAAAATGTTATCACAAAAAATTTGAAAAAAAACACTCATTTGGTTTGCCATTTATTAATCACATTTCATTTTCTGTGGGGCCATTAAAAAAAAGTGTTTAAGCCAATCATAACCCAGCAACCTCAATTGAAGAACAGCGGCAAAGGATATAAAATGCTTGTCATCCATTTCCCCTGGCCCCATCGCTCTGAGCACCGGTGAAGAGTGGTTAAAAAGAACTAATTTTTGCATCTTTACTGAAGGCAGACAATTCGAACATGAAATGTGGATTAATAAATAACAAACGAAATGGGAGCGTCGATGGCCGCAACGGTTTAGGCGTTGACACGGCCCTCATCACTGTAAGGTAATGGTCCCCGGTTCGAATCCAGCGGCCCTGCACCCCGAGGGTTGATATAACCTCTGCTGTGCGAACCCTCGTAAAAAAAATATCGATGATTTGAAATACGATTGTACCATTGTTTTCAACGTAAAAAATCATTTAAAATGATGTGACGGATGTATAGGGTCGTATTTGAAATTTGGAAGTTGAACTGGGCCTGACGTCCCGGTATAATTTTTCTACAAAAAAGGTAAAAATTTGAAACTAGACTAAAAAATATTAAACAGGTAGTTTTTGTTTTTGTTAGCGTTTATGGTTCAAGAGGAATTCAGGCGGGCCGTCTAAAAAGGACGCCCTGTATAGTTGCACAGACAGGGGGAAGAAAGAATATATTTAATCATAAGTCCTAGTATTCCATTATCATCATCATCATCATCGTCTTTAAACAAATGTATTGCATTTTAAGAGCATATAGAATAAACGTTTCGATTCAAGGGTGTACTGGGTCGAGAATAAAATTGTCTAAAACGTTAAAATTACCATAATTTTATAGATAACACATAGTTAAAACATTTTACTGTAATGCCAACTTTTTTGGTTCAATTTAAAAAAAAGTTGGTTAAAATTAAAATTATTTCAAATTGAAATCAATAATTTAAAATTCCATGTCTGGCAATTCTTTGGGAAATTTTCTCTAGTGCATTTCTTCTTCTATTCTTTCAAGTTGACCTTTCAACATCTTGTAGAATCTGTGCGTTCTGACTAGAGTTACTAACATAAAAACTGTAAAAAGAAGATTTTTTTAACCTGTTCAAAAATCATCCGAATGACCGATGAATAGGTGATCGGGCCTTACCGAAATACGACAGAGCCAGAAGAGAAGAGATTATTATTAAAAATACGTCTGCCCTTTCGCAATTGAAATATAAAGCTGCCAAAGATTTCCCTGGCCCGCCTTTAGCTTCTTCCGGTCTCGGTTTTTCCAATGGATCCTTGGGACATTTGATCCCGTAATTCCTCCACCTCATGTTTATCAACCAGTGAGATTCTGGACAACGCTGGTCTACACAAACAAAACTGTAAAACAAAAACTCGGTTAAAATTGCATAATATTTCAGCTGTAAAACCCAAGATCGTACATGAAAATGTCCGAAGCGGAGATGAATCCGACTGTCGTTGCGGCACACCAATATGCAAACCCACCTAATATCGTCATATAGCCGTAAAAGTAGTACTTTACATCCAACTGGAAGAACTTTCAAATAATAAATTAACGTGTTAAAAACGAACGCCATAGTTACCAAGAACGCTGAGAAAGACAATAGGAAATATCCGACAAGATTGCATGCACAGTATAAGAATACCACACCGACATGGACTAAAAAAAAAAGTTATGCAATGCCCGGATTTTCTAAATGATCTTAAAAGCATCCTTACTTGTAAAAAGACCTATATTTGAGAATAAATCATCGGCAAAAATCTCGAAAAGAATCACAGTTATCATGAGAGCCTGGAAATTAGCCATTGTAAGCACATAACAAAATCAATTAAAACAAAAAACTATATATATCATGCTTAAGTGTTTCGTACTTCAGCTGTGTCTTGTTTAAAATTATGCTAAAAAAGTTGTAAAAACACAATTTCTTGCTGGAAGCTAGCATATTAGCACTTCCGTATGATTTTTTATATCCAATGGTGGGACGTGTTTTCTTTCCTAAAATAGTTAACCCCTTCACAGTAGTGATAAGGCATAATAACATATTTGAAACATGTACATTCATACCAATATATATCTAAACTAGGTTAGGCCTCAGGGTACCCAATATTCTATAAGATCCGATCATCATTCGCGCTAATAAATATATTCAAACAAAACCTAATCTTTCGCACGGTATTCAGTTAAACAATTGGTACCACATTTCATATTAATATGGTGTCTCGCCCCAACACACGATAATAAGCTAATCACCCTATAAACATGTAGTAACTAATCTACTTTAATAGGACTGTAAAGTACTTTATATGCCGGACCCAAGCTCACCAACACATACTCAAACACTAACACTAATTAATACATTAAAACAAAAACGAACGTTTCGTTATATTTCGCCACAAATTTAGCAACACAACTCAAAAAATTCAAGCTAATAAATACATTCACTCAATAATGGATAACATGGATAAGCCACACCTTGTCATCCTAGGCACCGCACAGTATTCAGTGATAACACATTGTTAAAGAGAATGTGCGACCCTATTTAAATTATTTGGGAATAATCGATCCTTGTTTTAAAAAACTGTTTAAATTCTATAATTGTTTTATAATTATGTGTAGGTAAAAATATTTTACAATCATCAATTTTCAACTTGAAAACCGTTTTTAACTCTTTTTATAACATGGTTATAAAAATTGGAAAGTCCTCTCTGATAACACGTCCTACCTGATGGATGCTCTTTACTAGCAAATATGAAACCAACAAATATACCGGTTCAAGCAACAAATATAATCCAATTGAACAAACTAGGATCGACCGGTATTAAAAATTCATTACGTACCAGTAGTTGTTAATGAAATGCTATTTTAATAATATGCTATCAATAAAATCATAACGTCAAAATTATTTGTATAATGTCAGATTGTTAAAATAAGTGAATTGTCATATGATTGTAATTTGTGCTAACGGCACATATGGAAAAATGTGCAAAACTAATTTATTCACTATAGTTATATAGTTTAATGTAAATATATAAGAATGAATGATTATTCTTTTGAACAAATTTGGTATACAGATGAAAATTGTCTATTTAGTAAAATAATAATTACTAAATAAAGTTAAAAATCAACTAACTTCTTACTTCTTATATCGAGTGAATTTTAAAAGAAAGAACATGAACTTATAGTTTGTGATAGATGACTAACTTTCCAAACGTAAGTAAGTTTAACATTGCAAATGCTATCAAAATCGAAAAAGGGCTTCTTTACACATTGTGTACATAAAAAACAGTCTTCCTTGTGTGTTATGGAAAAATAACCCCAGCTCGCTCTAAAGAGTACTATTAATACTAATAACAATTCCATCATTTCAATCCCACACATACATGAACGGTTTACGTACTTTTCCTACAAAAAATGACGCAACTACTCTTGTCTGCCTACGATAAAGATTGACAAGGGTTTCATCCTGATCCGATTCTTTTGACACCGTAGACATTTTTCTCAAATCTGAAAGTCACACGCATTTGTAAATAGAACTTTTTTCCATATGTTTTCCACCTCGATTTGGAACAAAATGGCAAAATAATTTCAAATAAAAGAATCCATCATAGGTCATATACGTCCTTAACCACCTCCCAGTTTAAAAATCACCTTTGACCTAATCACCACAAACATTCTACATCCCTATTTCTATGTATAATATGAAAAAACCTCAGTAATGGTGCCATTAATTGAGAACTATCTATATGTCATCCTTGGAAGCTCCAATGTCACTTCGGATACAACACCAACCACTGGGTGGTATACAACAACATTGCATCCTTCCTTCAGTGGGAAGGAAGCTGCCTGGGTGCCTTGTAGCAAACCGAGACCCAGTAGTAGTGGCCTTTAAAATCCTCCAGGACAATCTCTTCAGTTTGGACGAATGGTTCGAAAAATAGCTTATTTTTCACTCAACGAAACCAAAACGCAGCAAACAATCTTCACCCAAAGGACGTCCTTTCAATCAATCATTATCGCATCCTATCTGACAATTACTTTCAAATAGGTCAGTACATTCCTCTCCTCTATCCACTATGCCTAAGCGAATGTTCCGCAATGTAGCTCCTGGTCCAATTTTCTATTCAGTATACATTGCATTCCCATCAATCCCAATACAGTACTCCTCATGTATGCTAACAATACAATCTTTTCAGCAAACCGAGGCCCAATAGTGGCCTTCAGAATCCTCCAGGACGATCTGTCTTATATGAAGGAATTGCTTAAGAAATGGAGGATCAGACTCAATGAAACCGAATCCCCCAAATAACCTTCACCTTTTCGGCGTATCACTTCTTTTCTAATCAACAACACTTTTCCTCTTCCAGCCAGCAATGTCATCCACTATTTTGTACTTTACCTCAACAAAAGACTTATTTAGAAACCCCACACTCGGTTCAATAAACTAGAACTGAACAGCCGATTAACATACTACTTGACAACAGATCAAAACTATCACTGCAGCTAACATGAACATATGAAACTGTGGGAAATAACCAAGCGTTTTAACCTCCAAAGTCATTGAAGCCATTAAAGTCACAGGGTAACTATTTCTATTCCCCACGGAATTGCAAATCCCATTCTCCTCGAAATCGCAATAAGTGGAAACCGACTCTTTCTTAAAACCCCGAACCCTTCCATCCAATCTAGACGACTAAAGGGCCAATGTCTTCACAATGTCCTCCGCATGAAAATTGATGTATCACTTCTACTCTTTTATAATTATATAATATAAAATTCATAAGGACAAGAAAGTTCCTTATAAGCTTCTAGCGCTTTTGTAACATAATATATGAATATAATAACATAATAAATAATATTAATAAATATAATAAAATAATAATAAATATAATAACATAATAATAAATAGGGGGCGTCGGTGGGCGCAACGGTTTAGGCGTTGACACGGCGCTCATCACTGTAAGGTAAAGTCGCGGGTTCGAATCCAACGGCCCTGCATTCGAACCCGACATACTTACAAATGTTTTTTTTTCAAAAACACCGGTACCCTGAGGGTTTGTATGACCTCTGCTGTCGCGAACCCTCGTTAAAAAAAAAAATAAATATAGAAAATTTGGAAGACTACTGCGAAAATTTCTTAGAGTTTGGTAAGTACATAGAGTAATACGTTGAAAGGCTTTTCTTGATGAAATCCCTTGTCAAGTTTATCGTGAGAATTGCTAATACACTTAAAAATAATGTAGTGCATTTGGAAAGAATTAGAAAGCTAGACTTTATAAGGATCCACTTCTATGGCTTGAAAATGCCCGCCCAAGCGGACCCATTCTGTCATATATTATGTATTGAGAATAAGAACACAATGACAAGCAGAAGGGAAACATATTCATTTCGAGAGTATCTATATATCAACGAAAACAATTTAAAGTAGTTCAAAGTATGGATAATTTTACGTTTAAAATATGGGTTGAAATATGTGCAGGATTTGTCGTGTATTGTGTAAATATGCCTCATACGTACAATAATGAATTTCGTCATCTTATTTTGGTATTTGCGCTATGAACTTGGTGAAGACTCGAAAACAAAGCAGCATGAAAACTAAAAAAAAAAAATAAAACAAACATAAGAATTCAATATAGTCAAGTCGTTTGCTTGACTGAAAACAGACTTGTCCAGCCCGCGCACAAAACTCCCGAAACGACGACTGGCGCAGTTTTGTAATTCTCACAGCCCGCGTAGAAAGCCGTCAAGTTTATTTCCGACGGATTGTCACCAAATCCGTTGTCGTCCCTGACTTGTATGTCCGAGGCGTAGGGACCTTCTTCTGCGGGAAAAGGGCATTCTATTCCATAGTTCCTCCACCTTGTGTTGTACATCCAATGAGTCTCCGGGCATCTGTTGTCCACGCAGACAAACCTGAAGGATTCGTTTGTACCTATTGCCTTTTTAAATTGATAAACTAACACTTACTTGAACAAGTCCCCATCCGGTATGAAGCTTAAAACGACGATGAATACCCAAAAAATAAACCCTCCTAAAAGAAGAAACAGACCGACGCGCAAATGTATATTACTACCCTGAAATTCACAATTAAAAAATACCTCAAACAAAAATTTACTTTCCTCCCTCGTCTTACCATAAACGATGCAAATGATACTAAAGAAAAACCAATCAACATGGTCGACGCGTAAGAATATATAACCAAATATTGAACTAAAAATAATACAAATATAAAACAAAGTTCTTCCCTATTAACTAATTTAAAAAGACAAAAGTCTATACCAAACATCATGAAAAAATCTCCGAATAAATTGCGTGCATAAAAATTATACAATATTACTGTGATCATTAATGCCTGAAAAAAATCAATTTTAATTTATTTGTGATAAAACATCATTTTACATAAGACTCAAGTAACTCAAAAGAAACTGACATTTTAAATGCTACATTTTATTAATAATGGTTAAATAGATGATAGTGATGAAAGAACATTGCCACTGACAGAATCAGGAAGAACGAGTAAAAGCGTGTTAATGTGTTTATGCAACAGAACAATGTGAACGACATGAAGACGTAAATATAGAGACAGACATACAAACAGCGACTGAATTGGACTTGGTTAAAATTAAGTACATTTATGGCCAGAAACTTTTAGTACCCACCCAATTTATTTGCTTAAAATAGCATATAATTAATTTTAATGTGTGGTGATTAGTGACCGTTAATCGATAATTATTCAGAAATCGTGAGATGCGGTCTGGTGTGATGTAGGTTTCAGAAAAACATTTTCTTTATCGTGCCAACGTTTCGATCTTTATTGAGATCATCTTCAGGGCTCAAAGTGTTTGTCTTCTGTGTAATTGTGCCATTCTTGCGTGTCGTGGGCACTCTCAACACGACACGCAAGAATGGCACAATTACACAGAAGACAAACACTTTGAGCCCTGAAGATGATCTCAATAAAGATCGAAACGTTGGTACGATAAAGAAAATGTTTTTCTGAAACCTACATCACACCAGACCGCATCTCACGATTTCTGAATAATTATTAATTTTAATATGAACTTTTCCAACATTTTCCCTTGTACAATTATTTCCAGTGGATGATAGGTTTATGCCATTTCTATGGCAGCCGATAAGGTTTTTATTCCCTCTTTTGTGTACAGATGTATGTATACCTTTCAGATGGGCTATTTATGTTGAACTTAAGTCCAACAGATTAACGTGACATAATCTTAGGTCTAATTACCGCCGTGTGGCCATTTGTGGTTTTAGTACCCAAAATTTTTCTACGGTTGTTTAACAGAAGGACATAATTTTAACCCCAAGCTTTCAGTTTTATTAAAAATATAATCATGGCAATTTATAAAGAAATCAATCAATTCGAAAGAGGATAGACAAGTCAAAAATGATCGGTAATGATTGCCGATCCATCCCGTCATGGAAAAATTTCACTTTTTTAATCGTTCAAACGAAATGCAATCGTTTATTGCTTTATTAATGACTAGGCAAAAATTCAAACTCGGAACAAAAATCGCCAGTCGCTTTTAGAGAAATTGCAATTGCCAACACTTCTACTGCTCCAGATTCTTCACCCGTCCGAGCATGACATGCTTTAACACACTTTATCAGCTAAAGGAAAAGAGGTTGCATTATTCGAAAAATTTAAACAAATTTTTCAACAAATTAGGGCTTTTATAAATAAAATCAGAAGATTTTCATGTAACTTAATGTTTTAAATCGAAAGATTAAAGACGGAAATAGGCGCCAGGACTTACCTGTTCACATTAGACGGGATTCGGGAAGAAAACCAGAGACACAAGTCCTCACCTCAGACCTGAGTGCACAGTGGGCGACGAAATTGTTGTGTTATGGTGGTATTTTAGACGACGAGTAAAAAGAAAACATTGGGTACATCCTATTTTACGGGATTTCTTATTGCACTTTTTCTGGACTTACTGGTTGATCCATAGCTTTTACACGAACATAGCTTGGAGTGGGCAACAAAATATAAACCAAATTTTTATAAACCAAGTACGACTTTTTACATTAAATTAAATAATTGGTTCAAATTTCAATATCACCGGAGCTAGGACAAAGCCACTTAAAAACTCATACCTCATTCTTTCATTGTATACTTACGATACCGATGACAGTAAGGACGCATGTCCAGGTTTGAAGTGAAAATATTTTAGCGAAGAACTTGCTCTTCCCACTGTCCGACAAATCTGTACACTTTTCTACTTCTTCTTCAAAGGAAGAACAGGTACTCATTTTGTAATAAATGATAGTGAACCAAAGTGAATTGTTAATAAGTATATTACATTACAAAATAATGTTATATATGACAGCTGATCTTTGTTAAAAAAAAATGAAACATCCAATTTATTAAATCGTTGAGTGGTTTGTTTTATTTCAAGGATCCCATCTTTCTTGAATTTATTTGTACTCATTTCGACTGTTCCTCTTGAGATAAAATTACATGAAGCTTTCTTATCGTTTTGAACGAATGGATGGCGAACACTGAAAATAAGAACGCCGATCAAGTTGTCGGGTTCTCAGGTCGGAAATACTCACGAAGCCAAACTAGCCCCAACACGGTCGAGATCGCCATCGGCCCGGATGTGTAGCTTTCGCAGCCAGTGTAGTAAGCTTTTAAATCGTTCTGGCTTCCTTTTGGACTATCAAGACAACAATTGTACAAAATAAATAAATAAATAGTTTACAAATTCTACCTGCCGTAAGATATTCGTAGAACGAGGCCATCTTTATTATCAAGGTCCCCAGTCCCGTTGGGGTAAGTCATGTGATAGGGGCATTTGATTCCGTAATCTCTCCATTTTGTATTAAACATCCAATGGATCTCAGGGCAGTGATTTTCAAAACAGACAAACCTTGAGAACATTTATATGTATCATAAAATATAATTTTACTACTTTACCTGAATAAGTCATGAACCGATATATAACTTATGGTTGAAAGGAATAACCAATAGAAAAAACAGACGAACGCAACGTTTAAGCCCCATTTAAGGTGATTTGTATTTTTCTGAAAGATATTATTCTATTATCAAATTGTTTAATTATTTTAAACCTATCGACGTACCGTCCCAACGGCGATCAGAACGACTATATTGGCAATTAGATTGGGCCCTAAATAACTGTACGTGAGTACATACTGGACTGGAAAAAATTGCGATTAAATATAATACCGCAGACTGTAAAGAAAATTTAATTACGCGGTATATATTTTCGCTCGATCAAAAAATTATCAGTGAGTGGGATATGCAACATCGCAGTGATCATCAAAGTCTGAAAAACGAACATAATAAACAATAAAACATTTTTTAACATGTTTTGCAATTGGCATAAAAATATGAAAATGAAGATGTATAAAAGTGTGTAGGAATAAATAAATAAATAAATAAATAAAGANTATATTGTATAAATGGTAAAGAGAAAAGACATTTCAGTGCAGCGTGGCAAAAACCTTCAATCATAAAATGCTTCATCATAAAAGTCATAAAATGCTGCTGCTAACTGCTCTGTATTCATAGTATTGATTCTTATCAACTATATAAGATAAAAGTTTCAACAAAATTATAAATTACTTTTAAATATACTAAAATAACAATCCGATATTATATTTAAATTTTTCATCGTACGTGATTTAGATTAGTTTTTGACTACAATGGGAGGCTATGGACGTGGTATCACCGATTTTAAACACATTTTTTATTGTTATAATTGTGTAGAATACTTTTTTAAGTAATATATATTTTTTTAAATAAGTTTCTCTAAATTTGTCATGCACGTATTTCAAAATTATTATATATCAGTCGATTTTTTTACTTAGGATAAGTCAGTATATGTAATGTAATATGTAAGGTATTAAAAAGATTAGACGTGTAAAAATTTACAAAAACCAAGACAGTAAATTAGGTCAAAAACTATTTTTGTTGGTAAAAAAAAATCGCTTTAAGCCCCCTCTAAAACCGTTAAAAACGATTTTTTTTAAAAATCGACATTTGTTGGCGGGATTCACTGAAGGTTTTACACGGCAATGTCCGTTGTTCCACTTAAATTGGACTTCTGAATTTTATTCAAATCCAACTTTATTAAGATCGTTTGAAAGTTGTTTATATCAACTTTTATGTTTTGTCAAAAAGGCTTACATTTTATGCCAACGTAAGAGTAGTAAGAATGAATTCTACAAGGTAAAACCAATAAAAGTTCATGAAAATCGGAAATTCCATGTTATTATTGTTTCTGCTTAAGTGGTTAAGGGGCTATTATTTTTTAAATTTTCAAATTGTATTAATTTATTTTATTCTTTATTGTAAAGACACCGATATGACATAACAGCGATTTATATTATATGACTTAATTTATATTTAACATGTATTTATTTAAATATTATATATTACATTTATATATTTTGTAATTCAATTATTAAAAAACTGGAAAAAATTATAATGTAAACGAATCATAGCCTGTAAAAAGACTATAATTTTTCCGCATTTTATATTTTGTTCAATAGAGTTTTTTTATGTTTTGATAATCATTACAAATTTAAATCGATTTTAAACTTATTTTAAACAGGTGTAAATCAACTGTAAGAAAATCAAGCTTTCTGATTCCACCCCTGTTTTATTAATCAGGATGTCGTCCGATTCTCCCTCAATTTAGCACGAATATATTGTGTCTTTTCTAGATGTTTATAATAGGTTTGTAATTTTTCATGTTTACTTACAACTGTAATAACACTAGAAGTGGCCGAGCTTGCTCTTGCGGTAAGAAAAGTAAAAACGTTCTCAGACGAATTTACTGTGTCAATCGAAGGCTTTTTTTCAATCGATGTCATTCTCCCACAGGCTTGCATTTCACACTTTTAATTATTAATTAATCAATAATAATATATTAACGTTAAGAACTGTATAAACCGATGGGAACAGCTGGACGCATGAAAAATCTGCAATTCCTACTTTTAAAATCGAGAAAAACAGTTAAAACGTACTATCAGTAATATAATTGTAATTTATTTAACAATATTGAAATAAAATAAATACATTTAAAGTGTATTTTTAAACTTTGTGTTGGTGTATTTCTTGTACATAATTTGGACGTTACAGATCTTAGTCTGCCTTTCCTCGATGTGTTGGTCGGTCAGATGGGTTTCGGCATTTTGCCATCTTCAGTATTGGAATTCCCAAAACAGACCAATATAGCGAGGTCAGGCAAACGTTCCAACCGTTGGAAAATCATAATAAACCATTCGGATCTGTATGACGAACATGCAAGAAGAAAATAAAATACATAATATGTGTGGAACATTTGTTTATTGTTTAGATTTATCAGAAATTGTGAATTCTATCATAACGCTAGTTTTGACTGTTTGAAATGGATTTATGAGCGTACATTTTTTATGTCAATTGCTATAACATGTAGCAATTTGCAAACAACTGTTGATTAAATAGGGGAATAAGTAAATAAACAACCCAACGACAGAGTTACTGTCGTTGGGGAAAAATTCCTAATAATTTACAATTAATTAAGGTTTTTAGTTGAGATGAAAAAAAGTTAATGGCACGAGCGGGATTCGAACCCACGATCTTCGGCTAGACAGACCCTCACGACCTGTTAGACAGAGAGACGTATTTTTTCATTGTTTTTATTACCAGATTACTAATTATTCAACTATTATTTATGGTATTTCTTCATTTAAAATTTAGTTTATGTACATATAAGCATCGCTTCATTAAGATCAAAACCAGCGGCCCTGAAATTGAATGAACCCGGACCCTTTACCTTTCCGTGATGAGCGCCGTTTCAACAGCCGCACAGTGGGGCCAAAAGCAAAAAAGCGGAAAATTTCACTAACACCCAAACTATTTGAGGCAAGTTCCCCAAATTTTGTATGTTTAGGTGTTTTTAGGTGCGTTAAATCCAAAGAAACTTTTTTCGAATCGATTGGGGCACAGCAAACCGTCCAAAATCCAAAAATGGATCAAATATAACCAATAATCATCATGGGTATCGTTTTCTTTTTTTCTACACGCCGAATTCAATGAAACTGTTCTCGAATCGACTGGACTACAGCAAAACGGCCCAGAATTGTGGACAGTGGACGAATCACTCCTGCATGTTGAAAAAATAATAGGGCTCACTCAGATGGACTCACTCACAATTATTCACAGACTGTTGAAACAGGAAATGTAAAGAAGGTACGAGCAAATTCAGAAAACCTCTATCCTTATAGGAAATTTACCTTAATTAAGTTGCTTTTTCGCAGATAAATAATCAAAAATCCTGTTTTGAGATAACCAAAATGAATCTTGCCTAAGTTTTGCTGAATAAATTTTTGACTAAAAATTGTAAAATTGCGTTTAAATTAAAAGCTAATCTCAAGAGCTTCCCCAACTCTCGACTCAACCGAGGCTTCAATTTGGATAAATCGAAAAAAAAGATACTTTTCAAATGTTTTTTAGACGATTGATATTTCCTTATTTTTATAAAGTTTTTGTGGATATTTTGACCAAATTTTAAGAAGATTAATACACGAAATCAATTTGAAGTACAACAGGCCAAAGTCGCTAACTCGCAACCGAGGCTTCAATTTGGATAAATCGAAAAAAAAAAGATAATTTTCAAATGTTTTTTTAGACTTTGATATTTCCTTAGTTTTGGGATGGTCATATTTTTAATTGTCTTTACTATTTCTGTTAGAGTAGTAAACTGGCTTTTTTAAATGAAATTATTAAAACTTTTGATTTTCATTAAAATTGCATACTTTCAAAATTTAAAAACAATCAGTGAAAGACTTTCTGCAGTGAACGATACGATATTGCACTTCTCTGTCTGTTTTAATTGAAAACAATATTAGAATCGGCACACTGATCGATTACAATGATTTTTTATTCCAAGAATGTTGTATAATAATTAAAACTTGCACACAAAATCAAGATGACACCACAAGAATAGTACTCTTTCATGCTCTGAAGATGACCCGAATAAGGTCGAAACGTACGAAAGCAAAAAATGAAAAACGCGTTTTTTCTAAACTACCTCATTGTTAATCGCTTCTCACGACTTCAACAAATTATTAAGAAACACAAACTATAATAATTATAATTATGTGACTACACAAGTCAACAAATTTTTGCACTTCGTCCGCAATGAAAAGAAAGAGTGGGATCACTTACCTTTTTATTAAATTTTTTTTCGAGATACAATACTTATGACATCTGATTCGGATTCTACATAGACAAAAACAGTAACATTTAAAGCACAATCCTTCAACTAAACAGAAAGTTGCCAAATTTATTATTTTCAAAATTTTATATAAAACAGTGCTGCAATCAGATAGGCAGGAATAGGCAGCTGAAAACCACAGAGATGTGTATATTAGAGAGAAAAAATGGTGTCAAAGCAAAGAACCACTAAACTTTTTTGGAACATCTAAAAAACCGAATATTCTTTGACCCTTCAATTAGCCCACCTGATTCCATCCCAACGTTGATTTTTTGTCTTTGTCTCATACATTTGGGTATATAACAGGAAATTCGGGTGAACGTGTTTTTACAGAAGCTGAGTGAGGAGGAATGTTCAGAAAATAGCTGTATATCTTGAAAAATTTATAATTTTTAGGATTCGGCAGTGATTGTTTTGATCAATTTTAAACTGTAAAACCATTATTACAACCTTATTCTCTTGACCAAATACTGTAAGGAAACTGAACGGGTTTTGAGTTTTTAGGAAATCTATTTTTTGCCGACTTGTCCCACTGTGCCACGCCCCATACAATTTGTGAGTATAAAATAAATAGTTTTTTTCACTGAATTCCAACAGTTGTCTGTTTTACCACTGTAATATAGTTCTTTCTGAGGCGACCGACTTGATGGAAAAGCTCGGCTTTTTCTTTTGAATTAAATTTATTTGTAAGGGAAAAAATCCTCCAGACTTCGGTCGGTGTGACCAAGAAGAACGGGGGTCTGAATGTAACCGCATAATTTTCTCTCCGACGGGACACGGGGTGCTGTTCAGGCAATGCTTTTACTGGCGGGAAAAAGAGACCGCGGCCACAATGTATCAGAATTAGGCCCGAAGTGCATCCCGGAACGGGTTTATAATGAAATTAGAATGAAAATTTTTTCCACAGTATTTTTATATTTGTGTTAATGGATTGTCTGGTCAAGATAATAACGTATTGTCATAACTAGGAATATATACGGTGTAAAAACTCTTGTAAATATTGGGCTATAAATTTTTTAAATAAAATACCATATGATGTCACACTGTTAACTGAAAAAAATTTAAACTTAAAGTAACAAAATTCCTCACTGTTAATACCTTTTATGGCTCAGAAGAGTTTTCCATATGTTAATCGCGGGATAAAAAAGAATTCATTTGTTCTATTCTTGACGAATGTAATAAACTTGTATTTTGTTTACTTAACACAATAAAACTTTTGTATCTTTGTATCTATAAACAACGGAAAAATCAACAAACGGCTAGCAGAGAAAACCGGCTGACCGTATACTATTAATATAAACTGCTCAAAAATGAATAGGGATATTTGTAATTTATTCTTATTCTATTCATTTTAATTAAATTAACCGATATATTCTTGGAGAATGGAGAAAAGGTGTTGGTTTACAAAATGAGTAATCTTCATGCTTACCATTCTTAAGAGTTGACCTCACATCGTATGACCCTTTCAAACGACCTGCGGCAACATCCTACCACCAGCAACTCAGGAGAACATGTTGAGAAAACTCAAGAATATCATGGAAAAACGCTCATAAGTAGGGAAATATATGAAGTGAAAAAGAGAGAAAAAGAGAGAGAAAGAGAGAGAGAGAGAGAGAGAGAGAGAGAGAGAGAGAGAGAGAGAGAGAAATATAATGAAATATGAAGCAGAGCGAAGGAAAGATGGAGAGAGTGAAAGTGAGGGAGCGAGAGACAGCCAAACAGAAAGAAAGAGAGAGTGAAAAAAGAATGAAAGATGAAAGAGAGGGAGAAGAAAAGAGGGAGAAAGAGAGAGATAAAAATAGAATAAGAATGAGAGAGAGGATGATAGAGAGATAGGGAAAGTAAGAAAGATAATGAAGAAGAGAGAGTAGAGAAAGATAAAGAGAGCTAAAAAGTAAGAAGAAAAAAGAAAAAGAGCGAGAGCGAGAGAGAGAGAGTGGGAGAGAGGGAGGGAGGGAGAGAGAGAGAATGAGTGAGAATGAAGGGGAGGGAATTGGTGCAGAATTTAGAAATTAGAATTTAGAAAATAGTGCAGAATTACCTTGTGTTATATGGAATTGTTGCAACCCATCAAATTTTATCTCACATAAATTAAATGTTTTATTATTATTATTATTAAAATTACTGTAAACTATCCGTCTAGATTTCGCACCAAACAATTTGAAGAGCAAAGTCCCTACAATTTGGAAAGATATATTTATCTGATGGAAATTTTCTTTGGTGATTGATCAGCCTTCTCAGTTTAAATATTTTTTTTTCTTTCCAAAAGGTAGATTGGGGATGAGGCCAGGAAGACAGAAACAATATTTATTTTCTTGTCAAGCTTTCGGCAGAATATATCGCCTTCATCAGGACTCTGTATTAACAAATTAACATAAGTAAATTTTCAAATATACAATTTTTAAAATTTTCCTTAATTACTAACTGGGAATACAGAGTCCTGATGAAGGCGATATATTCTGCCGAAAGCTCGACAAGAAAATAAATGTTGTTTCTGTCTTCCCTGACAGACCTGGCCTCATCCCCAATCTATCTTTTGGAAAGAAAAAAATATATCTGATGGAAAGTTGTCTGCATCAGTATAAAACTGCAATAGGAGAATCTATTTTCACCATAGCTACTCAACAAGAATTACTCATTCTACCAACATTGTTTCATCAAATATTAATTCTGTTTTTTCTTTTATCTAAACATTCTTGTATTATATCATTAAAAATAGCTAAAAAATTCAAATTTTATTATATTCATTTAAAAATATTACTCAAATTAAAAAATGTTTAAAAAAATATCTGCTGCTTAGTGACACTTTACCGATTAAGAATATAATTGTTGATTTTAAAAAAATTATTAATTAATAATTTTAGTAATTAATTTTAATATTAAAAAACTTTTTGCAAAAACTTAAAGCATTTAGTACTATTTAGTATTGCATTTTGTTAGTCATTAGCTTATTGTTATTTAATGGTAATTTAAGTGTTGTAATAGTAATAGTAGCAGTAAAGTACTAAGTAGTTAATACTTAAACTTAAGTTTGTTTTTTCATAGAGACAAATAATTATGACAATGATGTAGATAAGCAAGCGACTCCAGCTTTCGTCATAAGAAGTTCTTTTCAGAGCTGTACGCAAATGTACACATAATTTGTGATTTGCCTTGCCATATTGCCAATAAATATTATTATATTCTATGTTTATTTAAAATTACAAATTCACCCAGAAAGATGTAGATTATTCTTTCCGGAAAGGAAGAATCCTTGATTATATAACTTTTTCCCGCCAGCTAGAAATCACGTGCGTGCCTCGAATGGTTAGCTTGTTTTTATTTCGTCAAATTAAGTGATCAAACGCCACCGACGCTGTGGGAAAAAAGTTTTTCGTCTTCCTAAAAATGCCCTCCTACTTAGTGTACCGAAACTGTCGTTTTTCCTCCATAGGCTTCGACGTTTATTTTGCCCGTTTGTCCCCGGCCTGGGAAAACTTTCTGTTTCCCGACGAACCAGAATCAATGGAGAACAACAAATTAATTGGAATGACTGGCTGTTTTGTTTTATTTTCCCTTGGATCGTTTGTTGATCTGTCGCTGATCCGTTTTCAAAGCGACGACTAACTCAAATGCTTATCAGTCAATTGTTATTCTTTAAAATAAATATGACGGAAACAAGCGTAAAAATGCTCAAATTAAAAATTGCGTATACAAATAAATTTAAAAAAATATTACAGAAATAAATAGAGTAGTCATAAAAATGATTCGATATAATTTACGATATTTACTATTAAAAAATTAATAATAAATAAGTTACAATTCACGTTATCGTAGCCCTATTGTATTCTTTGAAAGTTGACATAATATTCAAAAAAGCAAAAGGATAGCGAGAAGACGTTATTTTACAACAGGTTTTGTTTAATATAGCATTTTTCAGTCAAATGAAACTTTTTTTCAACGAAATGAAACTTTTTTTCAATCAAATGAAACTTTTTTTCAACCAAATGAAACCTTTTTTTCAATCAAATGATACCATTTTTCAAGCAAATGAAACCTAAACCCTAATGATAATAATTATGTAGAGGAATAAATAAATGACATTATAGTACTAACAACAATTTTTACGATGATTGAATATTAATATTACAATAATTGAATCAAAAGGCTTAGGTACAAGAAGGTTTCTTGTGAAGATCCGTATTCATCAAACTTTTCTACATCCACCTCGTCGAAGTTTAATTAAGTAGGATAGAAAAGTGTTTTTGAACGAGCAACAACTTTCTGTGATAGAAATTATGAATGATGGAGTGGGTGTGGAGATCAATCCTTTTTAGAAAGATGGTTCCTACTCACAATAACTCGTTTCGCAATAATCCGGATTTCGAGCCCTTTAGCTCATCATCAGGTTGAAGGACTTCTACAACCACGTCTATCGACATGAAATGCAAAAGTGAACCCGCTGATACCCCCGCCAACGCGAAAACGGATCTTCAGAAGAAACGTTCTTGTACCTAAGCCTTACGATTCAATTATTGTAATATTAATATTCAATCATCATAAAAATTATTGTTAGTACGATAAAATCATTTATTTATTCCTCTACATAATTATTATCATTAGGTTTTGGGTTTCATTTGCTTGAAAAAAGTTTCAGTTGCTTGAAAAATGGTATCATTTGATTGAAAAAAAGGTTTCATTTGATTGAAAAAAGTTTTCATTGAAAAACAAAAAAACAAAAGAAGGTTTCATTGAAAAAAGGTTTGATTGAAAAAAGTTTCTTTTGATTGAAAAAAGTTTCATTTGGTTGAAAAAAAGTTTCATTTGACTGAAAAATGCTATATATGACGTGTTAACTCTGCGTTGAAAGAAAAACCTGTGCTCATGTAGTGAATGAACTTTTTAGCCAGTTTAGCATAAATTCAAATCAAACTAAACTGGCCAAATAGGGGCACTCGTTTCGATTTCGTTCTCCTTTGAAGAAGTATGAAGTTTTTCAGGAAATTTTTAGAAATTTCAACCTGGACAAATCGCTACGCTACTCAAGTCGGTCGGATTTTTCACCCTTTGAGACACATGGGCGAACATAGCCGCAGAGCAGGCGAAAGTGCATCGGGACCCTGGACCGCTCGATCCCGGAGATTTTTCACCCTCAAATAAAACTTTTTCCGGCGATCCGTTAACGGACGGATGAACGCCGATTTTAAAAG